TTCGTCGCCTCTTGTTTTTTTTTTTAGCCTGTACTAATATCCGTCTTTCTTGGTTTTCTCTGCCTGCAGATGCCTTCATTGGCAGCAAGGATGGCAGTCTCAGTGGTGGCCTTGCCAGTGCATGAGAAGGGTTGAAGCTTTGAGCATTGGCTGGGGACTCGATTCCGGGCCGAACCGGACTGGTTCTGTCCCCTCCCGCCCCCACCAAGTGACAAAACTGTCTGGCCAGCAGTGATGTCATTTGGTGGAGGTGGGGGTGAAGCCAGTCCCCTAGTAGGGCACCCGCACGTCTTGGTCCTGGCAATGCTCAATGCGCAGCCTTCCTAAAAAATGCAGACTTGCAATCCAGATTCTCAACTGGAAAACCTCGAAGAGTACGTCGGAAAGGCACGAAATCGCATGTCACCGCATTGAAGTGCAGTGCACTCTTTCGAAGCTCTCCCTTGGCTTTTACCTTTCTCCGCTCAAGTAACGAACCAGTGAACAATCAGGCAGACGACACCTCATCCCAACAACCTTGAAGTTGGTGTGATTCATGTCCGTCGCATCGCATCTCTTCGAGCGGAAATCCTCATCCCATTCCCATTCCAAGGCGAGAACGTGAGTGAAAGCAGAGGTCCGCTCGGCTCGCGTCGCGTCGATTTAGTCGAAGCCGAAGCGTCGGGAATGTCGATGCTGCTATCCCATCGCACCGCAGAGCGCAGCGATGCCATGGCGAGTTCGGGCCGGTCGGGTGGTACAACCAGCCATTGCCTGCTGCTTCGCGGGAGCAGCATCTGCGCGTTACACGCGAGAGAATCCGCCTCGGCGACCTCGATCGGTACAATCGGAGCCGTTCATCCATTCCTCGCAGCGCGGCCAGCGTTTTCAACGAAGGACTATTCTATCGTCGTCGCGGGAAGGGAGAGGGTGATCGGAAGCGTCGCCGTGTGTATCGCTGCCCTGATTTCTTCGTGTTCGCGTTACGCAGTTTTCGCATTGTACTGCTCGACAAACTGATAGCGGGGTGGAGCATCGAGTGGAAGCGTCCGCTTTGTCTGAGCGTCGATTTGCATCTTAATCTCTCTTGACATCCAACGATCATCCTCTGGACAACCTTGGTTCCAACGGTGGTTGTTCCAGCGGCCTTAGTTCTCTAAATCTCCGCTGCGCGTAGGAAACGCGTAGCGACACACAGCAGCAGACTGCAGGAGAGCAAGAGAGAGCACCAGGCAGCAGCAGAGAGCCCTCCCCCGTCCCTCGCCGCTGTTCCCTTCGCGCCGTTTACTCCTCGCCGATTTTTCCGCGCCGATTCTTTCCGCGCCGACTCTTTCCGCGCCGACTCTTTCCGCGCGCCCCCCCCTCGTCTGCTCCCTCCGACGACGCGCGCGATGGGCGACGAGGGCTGCGACGACGCGAGGGCGTCGCTGCTGTCGCACGAGGGCGAGCCGAAGTGCCGCAAGTGGCGGGCATGGCGAGCGACCTCGTCGTCACCATCGGCCAGCGCGCCTTCCACGTGCACCAGTACCCGCTGTACGCGTTACTAGCCTTCCACGTGCACCAGTACCCGCTGTACGCGTTACTAGCCTTCCACGTGCACCAGTACCCGCTGTACACGTTACTAGCCTTCCACGTGCACCAGTACCCGCTGTACGCGTTACTAGCCGTGATCCGTTTCACGTGCACCAGTACCCGCTTTACGGTTTGCTTTCTCGGTTTCTCAGTACGCGTTTACGCCCTTGCTACACGTGCTCATGCTCTCTAGGATATGTAACCACGCTTCACGGTTCACACGCACTCAACTCTCCCTCCGTCTAGACTTCCCTCTCCTGTCTCCCTCCTTTCCTCTCCTGTCTCCCGTCCCTCCGCTCACCCTCCCTTCCCCTCTCCCCCTTGCAGCCTCTCCCTGTCAACGGTGATAGCGAGCGAAGCAGCAGCAGCGGGCGAGGGCACGGGCCCCTTGCAAGCAGGCCTCTCGTTCCTCCCTGGCGGCGCGCTCTCCTTAGTCCCCATCGCCTGCTACTGCTACGCCCGCCCCTGCCGCCTCTCGCCCCACTCCGTGCTGCTCGTGCGCTCCTCAGGAAATGGGGGGAATGCGGCAGTGGGGGGATGCGGCAGTGGGTGGGGCAGTGGGGGATGGGGCAGTGGGGGATGGGGCAGTGGGGGATGGGGCAGTGGGGGATGGGGCAGTGGGGGATGGGGCAGTGGGGGATGGGGCAGTGGGGGATGGGGCAGTGGGGGATGGGGCAGTGGGGGATGGGGCAGTGGGGGATGGTGAGCCAGGAGTGCAGGAGATGACCTTTTTCTTGCTTCTTCATACTCGCTCCCCGTCTTCCATACCCCATCCTTCTCACCCGCCATCCCTCTTCTCACCCCGTCCTTCTCATCCCTCACTCTTTCCCCCACCGACCCTCTTCTCACCCCACACCCCCCTTCCCCCCTCGCCGCCTCCCCCCCTCGCCGCCTCCCCCCCTCGCCGCCTTTCCCCCTCACTTCCTCCCCCTGGCAGCATCGCTGCTAGAGATGAGCACGTGTGGGCCCAGCCACTCGCTGCCGCTGCCGCTTCTGGCCTCCCAGCGCCTGCAGCACCTCCTGCTGCACTGGCCGCCCTCCTCTGCCCTGTGCTTGCCTCAACCTGAGGGTTTCAGCCCTCCTCTCTCGCCTCACACAAGCCGAGCTCTGGGGGGCTCAACCTTCCTACCTGACCTTGCCGTCACCACCCAGGGGACTCAAACCCCCCTTGACGGTGGTGCTGGTGGTGGTGGCTGGAGCAGCAGTGGCACACCATGAGGTGGCACTGCTTGTGGAGGCCGGCAAGGAGGGAGTGTCACCAAGGCTCTTTGTGCTGCCACTCAGAGTGTCAGAGCTGGGAAAAACATGTAGCACCAGGTCATAGATTGGCTGTAGGTGCGGGATTCCATCTCTGCAATCTATGCTGTAACATCTGGTGATCAGTAAAACCGGTACCGTAACTATCTTCTCTCAGAGTTTCAAGCTCTGCTAGGTGGCTTGATTATATTGTTAGTATAAAGTACAGTACATGATTGGTAAATCAATCATCATTACTACAATGTTTACAGCGTCTAAGCAGTTGTAGCAGCTGTCGTGAGCATTGCATCCACGTAAATGTGAAGCTAGCAATCTGCCAGAAAGTGTTCAGAGACGGGCGGGTGGCGGGAACCCCATCCTCCATGTACAATCAGTCCACCTTCTCTCTCCCCGCGATTTCCAATGCATTACACCTTCCATGATCGGGAACGTGTGAGGGCAGGCTGCTGCAGCTTCTTCTCTTCCTCCAATGCAATAATCCCGAGGTGGCTGGGATCCTCTAGCATCATTTTGGCGACAAGATAACCTGCCACGCTCCAGGTCTGCTGCTTCCGTGCCTGCTTCCCGACATACCTACCCAGCTTCCCATCGTAGTACTCAGGCCAGCCGTCCTTGGCAAGGCGCTTCTCAATCACCTCAATGGCCCTCCGAGCCAGGTGAGGGCGACCCACTTTGATGCTCGCAGCAGTGAGCATCCAAATCAGCACTGCATTGCCGCATGGAAATACAAGAAAACGAGCAATGTGGGTTGTAGATTAACCTGTGTTGTCAGGAATATTCAAGTGCCGATTACAGGTGGAGACTGACATGGGTGCCTGCCTACCTGGCCATGAGCCACCGTTGTGATAGCTCCATCGGGTGTTCTTAGGGTCGCAGCCAGTGGTGATCCGCCAGTCATGGTTCTCGAGAGCAGGATACGCTATCTTGAGAGGCATCTCGCCCACCAGCTCGTCCCAGCGCTCCTCTATCAGGTCCATGATTGCTGCTGCCTGCTCTGGTGATGCCATGCAGGATACGATTGCCATGCAGTTCCCAAGGGCGAACCACCTGCATGCAACCCACGGCACAGCAGAGCATGGTCATAAGACAGAGCCACAGAAGGTATTGGAAAAGAAACAGATTCATAACAAATAAAGCAACTGATTAGTCCACCGACAAATCAGCGCAAGTACCTGAAGTCCATGCGTGCAGGCGACACATTCCCGATGAAGTAACCTCCCTTGAGCGGCATGAAGTCAAAGAGCCAGTCAGGAATGGACTCTGGAATGACATTGAACTTGTTCACTGCCGTGTGTGAATACTCCTCCGTCTTGTACCGGTACACACAGTTCAGCTGCTCGTGATCCAGCCTGAGGAGGAGGTGGGTGGGCAGAGGAAGAAGGGGCAAAACAAGGGAGGGTGAAAAGTTTGGGTGAATTTTACTCAGTTTTGTACCGGTACACGCAGTTTAGCTGCTCGTGATACTGCCTGCATAGAAGCCATGGCATGGCAGAAAAAGCCAGGCAGTACAGAGGGCCAGCAGCACCACTGGAAAAAATATGCTGGCGGGCAGTAACTTCAAAGAAACTGGAAGCATGGGAAGAGCGGTGACGTGCGACGAGGAGCCTTGCAATAGCGATGAGCAAACATAGCGAAGAGAACAGCATCAACCATACAAATAGAAGGCAAAGAGGAGGAAATGGGAGAAGGGCGAGCAGACCAGAAGTAGGTGCGCATGTGGTAGGAGAGAGCCATGAGGCGCTTGCCAATGCGCTCCAGAAGCTCCTTGTTCTCCGGCAGGTCCGGAAGCAACGACCACGCCCCCACCCACACCAGCAAGTGCGCCCCCCCTATGCAACCAAACAGGACCCCCCCACACCAGCAAAACAGCGCCCTGCTTAAGCATCTAAACAGCAAGCCCCCAAGCCACCAATAAGGCCCCCCACAAGCTCCCTCACCCCACGCACCAGAAGTAGGTGCGCATGTGGTAGGAGAGGGCCATGAGGCGCTTGTCAATGCGCTCCAGCAGCTCCTTGTTCTCCGGCAGGTCCGGGCGCAGCAGGCAGCGCGCCACCCGCAGCGCCATGAAGAACATGGACTGGATCTCGATGGGGTACCCGTAGATGCCCTGGGGCGGAAGGAGCAGTGGGAGGGAGTGGAGAGAGTTTTGAGTAGCCGAACTCTTGTAGGTCGGGGTGCAAAAAGCAGTATTCCACTCGCAGCACCATGAAGAACATGAATTGTATCGCTATGGGGTTGGGTGCGGGATGCCCTGGGATTGGGTGTGGAAAGTGAGGCGGATGGGTGAATTTGGAAGGATGAGAGGTATCGAAGTAATCAGAAGCTTGACAGCTGATAGTGTAGGCGAAAACAGCCAAACACAACCTTCACAGATTACTTGCCAACAAAAACAAATAGCAGATGCATTCAAATAGCAGTTATAAACGTTTGGCGAATTTCAGACAAATGGTTGCCTCACCATGCGGCGATCGATCATGGAGCATCCATCCGCGCACAGCAGTGTGGGAAAGGTATCGAACCCGTCCGCCAGGCACAGGCTGAGAATGAGCCGCATGCCTCGCTGGCAGTCCGGGGAGTCTGCGAGGGACTGGTCACCTGCCATGCACGCACATAATCCATAACAAATCAGTCAATAAAGAATCCTGAGTCATGTTATCACTAATTCTTTCCGAGTTGGCATCATCATGCAGTCCCAATTTACATCATGCTGCCAAGGAAGAAGACATGCTGTGAAAGCAAAATCATCAAATCAGAGCATGCTGACATGCTGGGTGACTTTTTGAGTCGACTCAAAAGTCAAAATCATCAAATCAGAGCATGCTGGAATGCTGGAATGCTGGAATTCTAGAGCATTGAAGTACTTGAGTACTAAGGTGCTAATGTGCACACGAGCTGAGGTTCAGAGAGAGCCCACCAGTGGCCTTGACATAGGCTCGGAGCAGGATGATCCACCAGAAGCCACTATCCACCGGCGCCACGCGCCCAATGGCGCTCTCCCCAAAGTCAGCCATCATGGTGTCCACACCCCGCCGGCTGTCGTGCAGCACCTTGAACGACGCCGGCATCACACCCTCTCCCAGGGTGAACACGTCCACTCGCTTCTCCCAGGATTGCTGCGGTGAGAAAGAGATGGAAATGGGCGCACAGGGATGCACAGGGGGCAGCAGTTGAGATCCACAGGGTCTGCTGCAGTAAATCAAGCACAAGATCCCACCGGCTGAACACAGGTGAGAGGAGGTAGGTGGCAGGCGACAGTTGGCAGGTGGCAGGTTGGTAGGGAAGAGGTGGGAAGGTAGGCCACACGGAACAGGGGGTAAGAACGAACCACATTACCTTCTTGGTTGGAGGAGAAGTGGGTTTGCAGGCCATTTGTGTCTTTAACTGGCGCCCTTCCCTGGTGCCCCCACACAGTGTGTGGTCAGAAGCGGTGCCTGTGCACAGTAGGAAGTGCTGCCTAGTTATACCTGCAGACGCAGTGTCTTGAGCAGGAAATTCTCCACGATCTCCGCCTCTCCGTTCATGAGGAATGCGAGCGCACTCGGGACAAAGTCACGCACGAACACCTGCCATGACACCCGCACAGAAAAATAATCCCGCAAATATACATCAGGAATCCTGAAAGATCTTGCAACGGACCCGACTTATAGAATCCAGGACAGTTTCATATTGGCAATGCCAGCAAAGAGAAGCACTGGTGCCAACAACACAAAGACAGACAGACCCCCCCCCTTTCCCCTCCCCTTCCCCCCGCCACACACACACCTGGTCGTAGTTAAGAGCCGTTTCAGAGGGGTCCAGTGCGGCGATGGTGCCCACAGGGCGGCCGCGGAAGAGCACCTGCGACATGCGCAGCGCGTCCCACGCCTCCAGCACCATAGGATCCACCTGGAAAGCCGCTACTGCTGCCGCTGCTGCTGCTGATCGCGCGGCTCCGCTGGGCGTGGTGAAGCCCGACCGCATGCTGTGACATGGAAGGAGAGAAAGAATCTTGAGACAAAAGTGTTTGAAGTCCACTAAAGATGACGCTTAGATCGAGTGAAATGCTCACCGGGCTCCACTGGGCGTGGTGAAGCCCGACCGCATGCTGACACATAGACGGATGGATGGAGAGAAGAGGATAGTGGGGAGATGTGCGAGAAAGCAACTATGGCATTCATGGAAGGAATGGAAAAGGAGTCGAGGAAGTTTGACAGATGACTAGGTATGATTATGCTAGGAATTGACGAGGTTAAGGTGATGCGGCATGTGGGAGATACCTTGGTGTCAAATAACGCGGAGATGGTAAGACAGAACGACGACCACCACCCCTGAAAAGCAAGTCAAAAGGATTTGTTTTTAGAACATAGATGTACATAGCATGGATGTACTGAAAATGAAGTAAGTATGCACTAATCTGTTTTACTCTTAAGATGAATCAACACATATCCGTATCCTTCTCTCCCAAGTATGGCAACTAAATCAGTATCTCTTATGCATTCTCTCCGGATCTGGCATCCTAGAGGCCAGTAAACCATGCTAATGCGACTTACCCTGGAGTACGGCGTTTCGGAGAGCCGTTAGCTGACCTTGCCCTGTACAGCACAGTCAGCCGACAGCCCATTTATTAAAATCAATCAATTGGCACTTGTAACCACTGGCAGTAGAAAGAAACGAAGTGATTCACTTGGTAAAGGTCTGATTATTGACTTGTAAAATCAGTTTCGCAACTCACAAAGGCGTGGCGTCTGCCTTGTCTGAGTGGATCTGCTTTCCCTTGTCACCACCGAGGGATACACGAGCTGCAGCAGCTGCTGCCGCCACCACCTGCGCTTTGGTCTTCCGATCCGCGGATTCCCACACATGGAGGGGCGGCTGAAACACATCACACACATCAATCTATCAATGTGCGTAATAAGTAGCACATGCTACGAAATTCATGCGAGATCACGCTAGAAAATCTAATGAAACGAGCAGCATGTTTACACCTGATCCAAATCGATCTGCATGTTTTCACCTGATTCAGGCTCACAGACAGCTTCTTCACCCGAGCCTTAAGCCGACTAGGACGCTCCCGCTCCTCTTCCGTCTCACTCGCCGACTGCGAGTCTCCTCCTTGCGCGTGCGAAGTCACATCGTTGCACATCTGCATCTTTCCTTTGGCAAGGAGAGTCGACGGCGAGCTGGACGCATCATCTCCGTCAGCAACAGCGGTGGCAATGGTGGAATGGAAATCCGAGTCATTCTCATGCGTTTTGTTGTCGTAATCCAATTGTATAAAAACCTCCTCGATTGTTGCTGACGACGCTGTTAATCCGCGTCCTTTCCTTCGCGCGGGACTGCCGTTCATGGCAGTGGCAGATCCAGAATTTCCTGGAAACAAAGCAAAGCTTGCGTCAGTATCCGTACGCATTCTTCTAAGAGAAAACGTAACGTCAAATCTGATATCAAACCGCGTTAAAAATCCGGGGTTTTACCACCTGAAGCGGGGTCAGCGCAGGAATTCAACGAGCAAGGAGCCGACGTGACATGGACGATAGACCCCGAGCTTTTCCTCGTCTCATGATCCGCAGCCACAGAAACCCCAGGCTGAGCCTCGTCACGTTGGAGTTCTTCATTGTCGGCAGACACCTCTCGAGAAATTGGAGTGAAAACCCCGGCCATTTTCGGGGTGACTGCCTCTTGATGAAGATCGCTCGAACGGTGAAGTCGATGCGGCATGTAGCAATGATTTTGGTTGTAAATCTTCAGGCTGGGGGACAGGGAAACCCGTTTAAGATGGACAATGCTCCAAACGCAACAAAGAATGAGGAAGAGACGTCGGAACAGAATAAGAGTTCACGCTAGAAGAAGCCTCAGTTCACGCGGCCACTCACAAGCGAGGACGCCTTTCCTCGCTCTGCCTCCTTGTTTTGCTGAAAGCGAAGGATGTTGCCTAAACTATGTGTGACTGCTTGGGGTGCTGGTTCTGGCTGAGGTGATGGTGAGAGGGAGAGCAGGCGCCAGTCAGGCGGAAGAAGCGAGGTGGATCACTCAGCATGGCATCGTGGCCGTTAGATGAGGATGCACATGAGATGAATGGTGGTGGATGACCCGGCGCGCTTCGAAGATGAAATCCAGGAATTGTACGCATTGTGTTTGATCCGTTATTGTTCGCGATGTCTGCAAGACCTTGAAAGGCTACTAAAACTGCGTGAAGGTCCATTACCTGATTTTCCACAACTTCCAGCCATTTGCTTCGGTGGAAGGTGATCCGGAATTAACTAAGGTCATTGTTGAAACACCTCCGCCTTCGGCCATTCGCGTGTTCGCGTATTCGCCAAAAACTTCGGATTGCAGGATAACCCCATTTGTAGATTTGCACAGGGCATTACCCGCACGCAATGCATGCGTGACAGCTGCTCTGCTTGTAAGTGACGTGACGCAACTGGATTCGGTGGAGAATGGTGTGCAGTAAACGCGGTACCTTCTAGAGAACTCAACACCGATGTTTCTCACCCTGGCACCGAGAAAGTTCGGTCGGGGTGAGCTGTTTGCACTCGTGCCGATTCCGTCTCCTTCGTCCACCATTGCCAACACTAATTTGATCAGCCCACACTCTGGTTCACCCTTCCATTGTGATCATTGCAACTCCTCGGATTTGCTATCAGTCCAGCACACATTTGTGCCGATTCCGTTGGCAGGACGTCTAACAATTCAACATCGTTAATCGCGGCTCGCTCTGCAGTGTTGTGATCAACTGTGCGGCAGCCATGAAAGACATTAGGCAAATCATCGAGGAGAACGCTGTCGTCGTCTTCAGGTGCTTACCTCTCCCGTTGATTAGCCGTCATCATCCATTGGACCTTGAATGTTCACATCGCATCCAACTCGCAAGCTACATGAATCTCAATCCTTGTGTTGCCTCCGTTTCCATCTCCCGTTTCGGACCTTGCAGCAAGACCTACTGTCCGTATTGCGTCCGCGTTAAACAAATCCTGGCTAAGCTCAAAGCCAAATTCAAGGTAACATTGCCGTAGAACCATGGCACATGGCCGTTCATTAAGCGATTTTCTGCTCACCGTTCCTCCACCTGGCTTTTTAATTCCCTCACATTGCTTATCCCCTCCTCTCCGTATCCTCCATTCTGTCCTCTCGTTGTCTAAAACAGGCAATTGAGCTTGATCACGATCCCGAGGGAGCTGCGATGCAGCAAGCATTGGCGCAGATGACTGGTCAACGCACTGTGCCTAGCGTGTTCATCAATAAGCAACACATTGGTGGATGCGATGGTAAGTAGTCCTGTCCGCACCCTTATGTGTCCACCCTGTTCAACCATAGTCACTCTGTATGTGGCCAGTGCGGTAGCTTCTGCTCCTGCTGATGCCTCTGCTGGAGCTGTCTGTTTATTGTTTAACCTGCTCTCTTCCGCTGACCCTGCTGCTTCGTTACAGACACAGATGCCTTGAATCGCCAAGGGAAGTTGGTTCCCTTGTTGGAGGCAGCAGGCGCAGTGTGAACGATTGAAGGATCAGTTGGTTTGGGTTTTCCCTACCCGTATTAGGCGAGAGGTTAGACTGAAGTGCTGTAGGGTCGCATAGGGGCACACTCAACCATGAGTGTGCCTTTAGTGAGAAAGGCCCCTCCCTTGTAGTTTTTGGATCAAACCATTAGTACTGACATGAGTGTTGGTGATGTGATGAGCCTCGTGTTGGCCAGTATCAGTACTGCTGTGTCTCACCTCATGGGGTTTAGGATGGGGTGTTTTTGCAAGACTACATCTCTACCGTATGTTTAGAATGCCAGATGGTTGAAAATCAAAGCTACACCAGCATGTTAAAGCCAATCTTTAAAACGGTATGCAATCCTACAGTCAAGCGCATGGGCTCATGCAATACCATTTTCACAACGTGCTCTGTTCCCTGCAACCCTCTGCGGCTCGATGAAACTGCTCTGCGAAACTGAGCAAGTATGGCAGCAACACTTCTAATATGCATTGGCATCTGGATCGGGTATGACCTTCATGTCACTCATGTCAAGAATCCTGCAACAAGAACACAAAAGAAACAGCTTCATAAGTACACCTATACAGGACACATGAACTGCGTACACACAGCCTGCAAGGGTACAGGAACACTAGCATGATCAAAGAAATCGGCAGGCAGGACAGTGCATGACAGGTCACAATAATGAGGGAGCATGTACCGTACCTCCAGGGCAGTTGCAAGGTGTCAAAGTGGGTGCGTAGCTCGCCCACATACTAGTTCTGAGACGTCTCAAAGCATGACATGACTGGTCACACTATAACGAGGGAGCGCATTTACAGTACCTCCAGGGCAGTTGCCCACATGCTAGCTATGGGACGTCTCAAAGCATGACAGGTCACAATAATAATGAGGGAGCCCTTACCTCCACGGCAGTTGCGAGGTTGTCAAAGTGGGTGCGCAGCTCGCCCACATGCTAGCTTTGGGACGTCTCAAAACATGACAGGTCAAGTAATGAGGGAGCATGTTCTGTACCTCCAGGGCAGCTGCGAGGTGTCAAAGTGCGTGCGCAACTCGTCCACATGCTGCAGCGCCTCTCTGCACTCCTCCCGGTCGTCAAAGTACGTCTTCTCCTGCCCCACTATCTGGTACGTCTCATGGCCCTTCCCCGCCACCACCTGTGAACGCGGTGAGAGGGAGTGTGTGAGAGAGTGAGCGAGTGCATGAAAGTGAGAAGGGGAAGGTGGGGGTTCAGTGCGTGAGTGAGGGCAACAGGCGTAGTAGGCAGCACAGTCAGATGGTCATTCCTCCCCGAGAAACAACCTTTCATATGTTCAGAATCCCACATACTCCACTGCACATCCCCTCTTCCCTCTTTGACTTCATTCCCTCTCCTCCCTCCCCAACCCCGCACCTTTCCCAACTCTCTCCATTCCTCCCGTTCCTCCCACACTTTCCCCTCGCCTCCCATCATTTCCCTCCCATTCCCCATCCCACCCTCCCCTCCCCTCCCCCCCCCCCCCCCCCCCCCCCCAAGCACATACCACAGCGTCGCCATCATCAGCCATGGCGATGGCAGCGCGCACAGCAATGCCACGGATGTCATACACGTAGAGGCGGTTCCCCGAGGGCAGGGGGGGGATGAACCCCGCCTGGTTGTACTCTATGTACTCCTCCATGCTCCACCCCACGCCTGCCAGCATGTCGTCCAATATGCCCACTGTGTGACAGGGAGGCATGCGGGACACATGGGTGAGGGAAGGCGAGGAACGGTTGTGGAGGGCAGGGCGAAGGGAGAAGACACTCAGCGTACTCCTCCATGCTCCACCCCACTCCCGCTAGCATGTCGTCCAGTATGCCCACTGTGGAACGAAAGGCATGAGAGCAAGCACAGGGGGAGGAAGGGAGTCGTGAGGCCTGGGGAAGAGGAAGAGTAGTCACCCAAAGGGCTACTGCGGGAGGGAGAGGAACATTTCCAAAGAGCTGTGTGGACGAGAAGCTGGAGGCAGCAAGGGGAGAACATTTCCCCAAACAGTTCCATCCAGAGAAGCGCTAATTCGTCTGTTACTTAGCTTGCTTGTTTGCTGGTTTGGTAGTTTCTTTTTCCATTCCTTTCTAAATAGTACAAAAAAGAGCCCACGAGCAAGCGCCTTACAGGGGTCCTCGGTGCGAGGGTTGTCGGACGTGAGTATGGTAACGTCGCTCTTCTCCGCTGCTATCTTGGCCATCATCGGCCTCTTGCCCCGGTCCCTGTCACCGCCACACCCCACCACTGGTGGCAGGATTGGGAGAAGACGGGCAGAGGTGGGTTGGTGGGAAGGGGGTAAGGGAAGAGCGGAGATGGGAGGACGGGGGATGGAGATATGGTTGAAGGGCTGAGGTGAGAGTGGGGAGGTTTGGTGGGAGGAAGTGTGAGGGAGGAATCGTGAGGAGGAAACGAGGGGAGAGGAAACGAGGGGAGAGGAAACGAGGGGAGAGGAAACGAGGGGAGAGGAAACGAGGGGAGAGGAAGCGAGGGGAGAGGAAACGAGGGGAGAGGAAACGAGGGGAGAGGAAACGAGGGGAGAGGAAACGAGGGGAGAGGAAACGAGGGGAGAGGAAACGAGGGGAGAAGAAACGAGGGGAGAGGAAGCGAGGCAGGAGCAAGTGAAGGAAGAGGAAAGAAGGAACCGAGGGGTGAACAGAAAGAGACAGCCATCAGCCATCAGCCATCAGCCATCAGCCATCAGCCATCCATCAGTCATCAGACATCAGCCATCAGCCATAAGCCAAAAGCCAAGAACTGTAGCTGTGACAATCCACCACGCACCTGTGATGATTCGCCTCGGACCGCATTCTCGAACAGTGTCCAGCAGGCGACTGAGCGCATCAGGAGTATGTGCATAGTCCACCACCACAGCAAACGCCTGCTCCTCGTCCACGAGCTCGGCCCGCCCCGGCACTGCGTCCACCTCCTCCAGCCCGCGCACGAGGGCTTCTAAGGGCGCGTTGATGGCAATGCCGACTGCTACCGCTGCCAGGATGTTGGACACGTTGTGGCGGCCCAGCAGCCCGGAAGAGATCTCCAGGTCGCCCTGTTGGTGGTGGAGGGGGGGGAGGGAGGGGGGGGATGGCAAGGATAGGGAGAGAGAGGTGAAGTGGGCGTAGGAGCGTGCTTTGACTTGTGTTTTTCCCATTGGCGGATGATGAAGAAGAGAGGCGCCTGCTCCTCGTCCACCAGCTCGGCCCGCCCCGGCACGGCGTCCACCTCCTCCAGCCCGCGCACGAGGGCTTCTAAGGGCGCGTTGATGGCAATTCCAACGGCTACTGCTGCCATGATGTTGGACACGTTGTGACGGCCCAGCAGCCCGGAAGAGACCTCCAGGTCGCCCTGTCGGGGAGAAAGGGAAGGGCAAGAGGGAGGAGAGGATGGGACTGAGGACGCGTTGATGGCGATTCCCACTGCTACTGCTGCCAGGATGTTGGACACATTGTGACGACCGAGAAGGCCTGAGGAGATCTCCAAGCCACCCTGTCGGGGAGAGAGGGAAGAGAAGGGAAACAGGTGATAGTTTAGCCTCTACCAGTATCATTCCAGCGCTCAAACAGCCTCCCGCCATCCCCCTCTCTGAAGCCGCCTAACCCCTCCATCTCTTGAGCTGCCCCAAACCTCTCTTGAGGCGCCTCTAGAGTCTCCCTGCACACTCCCTTCGCCTCTCAACCCCACCCATCCTTAACGCACCCGAGGCGTGCGCACGAGCAGTTCGGTCTCAAAGAGCTAGAAGGCGACCTCGAGGGCATGCACGTCAACCTGTGACTGCTTGCCAAGTCCCCTCCTCGCCCCCTTCACCCCCCACCTCCCCCTCCACATCCTCCATCTCCCCCTTACTTACCCGGGGCGTGCGCACGAGCAGTTCGGTTTCAAAGAGCGAGAGCGCGACCTCGAGGGCATGCACGTCCGCCTGTGTGTTCTCCAGCGAGAAGGTCACCGTTGGCACGTCTGCCCCGCCACGTGCCATGAAGAAGGACGCGTGGGGGTCGTCCAGGTTCACCACCTGGGCGCGAGGAGGGTGGGATGCAGCAGGGGGGAGAGTGGGGAGGGGGGAGAGGGGGGGGGAGTGGGGAGGTGGGTAAGAGGGCACGTCTGCCCCGCCACGTGCCATGAAGAAGGACGCGTGGGGGTCGTCCAGATTCACCACCTGGAGTGAGGGGTGAGGAGGGGAGGGGGGGGAAGGGGGGGCAGGGAAGATCACGGGGGAATGGGGAGCGGAAAAGGGAAGGGGCGGGCAAGGGCAAGGGAAGGGCAGGGGGGACGGTGGGAGGGGGGGGTTGGGGGGTGAGAGTGGTTTGGAGTGGGAAGGTGGGGGTAGGGAGGTGGAACTGGGGAGAAAGGACCAAGGTCTGCCCTGTTGGATACGCACTTGCTCTTTTGATATTCTCTGCCAGAAAAGGTCATCTATGTTCCTCACCAACTAGAGCACCCACCAGCCCATTCCTTAGCCCACCCACCACCACACCCGCCCACCAGTCCTCCTACCCACCACCACCCCACACCAATCACCCAACCCATCACCGCACCCCCCCCCCTATCCCACCTTCCTGTGGCGAGTAGGATCCGTCATGGCGTCAAACAGCCTGGCCTTGGCATCCCGATACGCCTCCATGGTGCCATGAAAGTCCAGATGGTCGCGCGTGAGGTTGGTGAAGACGGCCACGTCGAAGTCGATGTCCTCCACTCGCCCCAGGGTGAGCGCGTGCGAGGACACCTCCATCA